CTCTTCTCATAGTCGATGATGTGCTCACGCAGCAGAAAGTTTTCGCGTTTGATGCGCTTCAGCAGGCGGGCCGAGACGTCGGGCACAGCCCAGCGCAAAATGCCCTGCAGCATGCTGATGATATTCTATAATGAAAAAARTAATACAGAAATAAAGCATATATATAATAAAAACTAGATATACAAATATGTATTTAGGGACAATCTCTCACTTGATAGATGACTATGAAGGCCAGGCGGGCCATCAGGATCTTCCAGTAGATCATGGGCCGCTTGTAGGGTGGGTCCACCCACGGATCGTTGCGGAACTCAATATAGTGGCAGAGCGTCACGTTGGCCGCATTGCTGGCATCCAGCAGCGATTGCGTCTTGTAGTCCTTGGTATAAAATGCGGCCAGCGTAAAGTTCAGATAGCCATCCAGCTCGGGATCATCGTGGGTGGCTTTGTAAACGAATTTCGGTATAAAGTTCGTGCTAAATGCAATTATCATGGCCTGCACGAGATTGATCAAGCATATATATAAATATRAATATTTAGTATGTGCATTCRGGAGTTTGTCGTTTAGTTCACTACTCACGCTCGAGGCGACCGAGATGTGTGTGACGACGGCCATAATRTTTTGCCAGACGCCAATGTTGCGAGCTCGCATGCCCACGGGACGCCGTATGAAGCGCAGCATTTTGATGGCATCCAGACGCACCTCAACCACGTTATTGATCAGCGCCAATAGCGGCGCCAAGGGAAATGCCAAGCTAAACAACGTGATGAAGCCATACTGCACCACTGCGCATAGATGCGAAAGGGAGAGACAGAGAGAGAAAGAGAGAGAGAGAGAAAGTGATTAGAGTCATTTGATTCGAGTTTCGAGTGTTGTATCTAGCCAATCCTACCCATCTCCAGATACTCCTCATACAATGAATTGCCCTCGGCTGGCAGCAAATWAAAGTCTTCGGTAAACTGATTGATAGACGGCWCCTTCTTTTCGTTGTGGCGCTTGAGGMAAWCSTWGCGTTGGCTCAGCTCATTGAAGACACGCATCAGAAATGGTATGAGCATCTCGATAACCGCATTCACCGCCTGCTTGCCCCCCATTATGATCACCAGCTGCATGCAGAGCTCCATGAGACAKCCGCCGGGATTGCATTCCTCCTGCCGGAARCTGAATATCCGATTGTATTTGGAGGGATAGCCAACGAATTTGCCCTTCAGAAATGCAATATAGAATAGCGATGAATAGTAGTTAACGAACTGGAACACATAGTTCTTGATGGTGAGACTCTCGTCGTATTCGGTTTGTGTGCGGCAATATTCGTAATTGGTTAGGCTAATCGCCAGCTTGCTGTAGACCAGATCCAGCACCGAGATCACAAGCAGATCGAGAAAACCGGCCGTTATTGGCAGCACCATGATCTTGTACGTCATTGAGTCCTCGTTGCCAATGATGGAGCTGGAGGCACGCTGGGCCATCCGATAAATGATGATGGCCGCCACGCCGATCAGTGATATGCATATCTGCCAACAAATCGAACGCATATACATACAGATATAGATAGATATAGACAACGGACAATGGGTAGTTCGGGAACATACAAACAACACCACGATGCTGTAGCTGGTAAAGTTGGGCAGAAACTTGAAGCTCCAGAAGGGCACATCCGGATCAAACATGGTTTTGGTGTCAAGCGGTGTGTCCTTGAGCTTCTTGGACTTGCGGAGTTTGGCCAGGTACTGGGGACGCGGATGCTCCACATGATGATTGAAACCGGTGAGGCCCCAGCGATGCACCAGACCCGCCGAGTAGCGCTTCCACAGCTCCAAGTAGGCCACCGCCCAGATGGACAACACAAAGGCGAACACCATCGTCATTTTGTTATCAATCAGATAGTTGAAACGCGAGGATGCGCACGTCTCGTTCAGATGCCAGAACTTGCAGCCACGATCGCACTGAGGGCACATGATCGTCTCGTTGCCTTTGCATATGTCATAGCTAATCGGATCACTGTTCCACGTCACGAAGCCGTAGAGAAAGAAGAGTATGCCCAGCACGCTAATCGGTATCAGCATCTGCGTATAGAAGCCCAGCCAGGCATAGTAGAGCGCCACCTTGGCCCCAAAGTAGTCCTTGATGTGATCCAGTGGCTGCATTCTGAGAGAGAGAGAGAAGGATTAATGAATGCCAAATCAAATCAAATCAAATCTTTGCTTACTTCTTCCAATTACGTAGGCTCGCCCATTCCTTCAGCAGATCATCACGTTTGACCTTCTGAAATATATTAATCATTTAACAATATTAATCACCATATTTATTATATATACAGGCGACRCCAAAARTATTTTGAAACACAACTGTTAGGCAAATATGCTTATAGCTAGGCAAAACAACATTTTAAGACTCTAGCTCTTATATCTGCTGAGATCGACGCGTTCTTTCACACGGACAGACGGACGGACAGGGCTAAATCGACTCAGCTCGTCGCTCTGATCAGGAATATATATATACACTAGTCGGCATAATTATAACTATCTAACGGCTTTATTCAGAACACTTTATTTATCATACCCCGAACCCATTGAAATTGGGAAATCAGAGTATAATGGTTTTGTTGAAATATATATAACAGGCAAAAGGAAGCTTGGCGAACCCTACAAAGCATGTATATTCTTTATCAGGGCGACAAGCTGAGTCGATTTGGCCCTGTCCGTCTGTCCGTCCGTCTGTCCGTATGTATGAACGCGTCGATTTCAGAAGATATAGGAGCTAGAGACTTCAATTTTTTTTTAATGTCCGTAAATACAGCGCGGATATCGAGCTTATCACCAAAAATCTATAACTCATTCCGTTATTTTTTATCGATAAAAACCCTAAAAAAGACCACTGACTAGAGAACACATAGACTAGACATGTAGAACAAATTTTTCTACAGCAGAAAATGTTAAGTTGGCCGACCACTTTACTTCGTATTTGCTCGGCTCTGGTCAGTGAAAAGACCTAGGAAAAAATTTAAAGCCTCGAGTCTTATATCTTCTGAGATCGACGCGTTCAAACATACGGACAGAGGGACAGAACTAAATCGACTCAGCGCGTCGCCCTGATCAAGAATATATATACTTTATGGCAAATTTTATCAGCGTTCATTATTCTGCCTGCAAAGATTCGATGCCCCCATGCATTCTTATCAGCAGAAAGAGGATGAAACATGTAAGATAGCTGTAGTCGATACTGCTCGACTACGGGATCCTCTGGCCCCTTCGAGCAGCTGATATCTTACTAATTCCTTTCCGTATTTCCGCTTACACACACATAAACACTTACAGACACATATAGGCACGYACGCATAAACACGCATAATTGTTTGATAACTTTTCTTGTGGATGTACTTTCTTCATGAAACTTTCAGATTGCGATTACAACATTAAAGTGCGTCTATGAGCCAAAGCACAACTCTTTAGTATTTGAAATTCGCCTTTTACAAACGTGTGGTGATGGGGTGGATATAGGAGTGAGGGGTGAATAATAGCAAAAATCGAAACTATAAAATTCATATAAATTTACCTATAAAATTGGGCGACTTTGGCTTTAAAGATATTGGAGATATAATTAACTAGCTAACCGGGAAGAGTTATCGATTTTGGAGTTAAAGTCGATATCCGCGCTATATATACGGTCATTTGAAAAAAAAAAAATTCAAGAATCTAGCTCTTATATCTTCTGAAATCGACGAATTCAGACATACGGACAGACAAACAGACGGACAGAGCCAAATCGACTCAGCTCGTCGCCCTGATCAACAATATATATAATTTGTGGGGTTTGCCACGCCTCCTTCTGGTTCCTACATACATTTCAACAATTCATTATACCCTGATTTCCATTTTCAATGGGTTCAAGGTATAAAAATGTAAATGGCATAGAGCTATTATTAGATTCTTTCTTTGATTATAATGTTCGCTATTTTATATAACGGTACTATGCAATGCCAACTTTAATATTCAGAAAACGATTTCGTCATAAAATTTATGCCTACTAGTGTACTTTTCACAAAGTCATTATAACCAGATTTCCCAGATTTTCTATGCTTTAGCTATAAACGAAGAACCGCTATATTCGATTTCTTCAAAACAGAACGCAAAATAGAGTAAAAAATTGTTACCAAATATATAATATAATATGTTATACCGTCGACTGTATATATACATAGATGTATATAGATACGTATAAATAAATAAATAAATAAATAAATATATAGTAGATACATATACATATGTCCACCAGATTACTTACATCGTGCAGCGCATAGGCGCAGAGGTAGACCCCATCCTCGATGAGCTTCTCGATGCCCAGACACTCGGCCGTCTCGTCGTGCTGTCGCTGCATTATGAAATTGATGATCGAATACCGTGTGCTGTCATCAAAGTAGTTGGGATGCTTCTTATCGTACAGCTCGAGGTATTTACGTGCGAATTCCATGTGGATGCATAGGCCGCGCTCCGGGCCCTCTATCTCCTTCATTGGCATCTTGATCTTTAGCACTTCCGCATACCGCTCCAGCACCGGCATCGGTGCATGCACCTTGGTGAAGTGCACGCTTTGCATGTCAGTGGACTCATAGGACTCCAGCACAAGGCCTTCGCGCTTTAGATTCTCCTCGAAGATCTCACGCTGCTTTTTGGCCGCCGTGTCGCTATCGTCGCCGTTGTAGGCCAGAACAAAGTCCACGCTGCGTCCATCCTTCAAGCTGCGATACGTCTGTCAAGGGAGAGGCTCACATTATTATTATAATNTGGAACGGTTTGCATATATTCGTGCAAAACATGCTCAATAACTGAACCGATCTGGCCAAACATAAAAGTCTAACTAACTGCAGTCTGTCGTAATATTTCAATATCTGGAACCGGATATTTATWAATACGAAAGTCAGGAACACAACAGAAATACGCGTTAACTCTGTTCGGATAGCAGTTCTACAYATCAATTATTCATGGAATTGCAAGCTGATAAAACTCGCAATGTGATTGGCTCCCTATAAACATATATGTWYKTTYWTKKWTSSYTYYYTYTT